AATTTCGAGAAATTGACCCTTATGACTGGTTTTGTGGTCCAGGGTCACATATGTCCAAAAATAAAAAACAAAAAACTCAATCGTACATCTCTGCGGACATCCGGCAGTGACAGCCACAATGGAAAGACGATGGGAAAGATGACGAGGTATGTTGCTCGCTTCCTTGGTGTGTCTGGCCATGCCAAGCTCAGAGGCTGGTCTTCATCGTCGTCCTCCTCAGCCTTTGAGATTAGAACCACAACAACACGATGTCAGTCAGTTGCCTGTGATATTTTAATATTAGAATCTTAAGGATTCCAATATAGATGATCTAGTTGTGTTGCGACATCACCTCAGCTCCAGCACTGCCATTCATGGGCGGAGTGACTTCTACCTCCACATTAGTACTGTTGGGAAGATTCTTGACGACTGAAAAAAAAAAAAAACATATGTAGGGATGTGATTTAAGCACTGAAAACCACAGCACTAGTGTTTGCGTGGCTGTAGAAATTATAGTTAACAGGAAATCAAAATAAAAATGTTGCTGATGTTACAGTGGACGACTTTTCTCCAAAGAAAAAACTTTTTTAGAGGGTCCTCATCAGAAAATCCATTCCTTTCCAGCTGTCGTCACCAAATCTCTTTACTTTTCATATAGGCCTACTTTTGCAAACAGTGTTGGAATGGAAAGGCCACTTTTCAGTGGATAAAAGTCCAATCCTACAGTGATTATCCTCATTTTACTCAATAATATGTCACATTACAGAAGTCAAATTGGTAAGGAATGCTGTTACACAAAAGATTAAAACTTACCAACACCATTTGCCTCATCTTGTTCCTTTTTTCTTGCGATCTTGTGCAGAATCGACGCCTTCTCCTTGAACCTCCCTGGAATATATGACATATTTGATTAATAAGACTTAACATATCTATGACGCGAGTCAATGTGAGTGTATTTCTAAATTTGGAGTGTTTGTATTTGCACATTACCTTCACTGAGAGGATCGAGTGTGTGAATCATTAGCTGGAAGATGCTGTTTCTCATGAGGGTGTTGTGAAGGGAGGCGGAGCTTCCTCCTCTCTGGAGGCGGGGTTTAGCCTATAGGTAAAAAAAGAAGAAATGCATTCTGATATATCATTACGTATATTATGCTGACAAGAGAGCGCTGAAGGTTCCTGATCATGCTTACCGAAAGTTTATTTTCGTCATCTGCTGCACTGACAACCTTGAGAAAAAAAGAGAGAAGCAAAATTCTATGAATTCTATGAAAAGTAAAATCAAAACCAATTTTTTTTACATTACTGACAAAATTAAAAAATAAAAAATAAAAAGTTTGGGGTATTCTTAAAACCACCCCACACCTTAAAACACAACTTCTAAAAAGCATTTTCAAAGAAGCTCAAAAAGTACAGGAAATTATAAAACCATTAGTCATATAAGCACCATATATATATATTTTTTTTTTTTCACAGCAATGTAATGTAATGGCAAAGCTGAATTTTCAGCATCATTACTCCAGTCTTCAGTGTCACATGATCCTTCAGAAATCATTCAAATATGCTTATTTGGTGCTCAAGAAACATTTCTTATTATTATCAATGCAGAAAAATAGTTGTGCTGCTTAATATTTTTGTAGAAACCACAAGACTTTTTTTTCAGGATTTTTTATGAATAAAAAATTGAAATGGAAATATTTTGTAACATTATAAATGTCTTTACTGTCACTTTTGATCAATTTAATGTGTCCTTGCTAAATATAATTGTTTGTCTTTTTTTGTGTGTAGACACATAGTGTGTATATTATGTTCAGTCTGAGGCCCTGTCCACACAAACACGGTTATTTTTAAAGCCGCAACTTTTTCTACGCGATTTGGCCGTTCGTCCACATGCAAACGCAGCACCAGGTTACTGAAACCGAACATTTTTGAAAACGCCTGTCAGGGTGAAGATTTTCAAAAACTCCGGTTGCAGTGTTATCGTGTAGACAGCAAAACTGGAGTTTTTGGCTTGTGACATCGGTGCCTGAGCTGTTATCTCCGCCTACTGGAGACTTTTTCAGGCTTCTGATTGGCCAACATGGCTTTACGGTTGAGATTATATCGCCACCTGTTGGTTTGGCATGCTCTTGACGCTTCTGATTGGCCAACATGGCTTTACGGTTGAGATTATATCGCCACCTGTTGGTTTGGCATGCTCCTGACAGTGCTTCATAGCATGCGTTTGCGTTTTCATGAGGACAGAGATTTTTTTTAAAACGGAAGATGGAAAAACTCGTTTATAAAAAATACCCGTGTACGTGTGGACATGGCCTGAGTTTGATTTCTGTCTTTGCTTTCTCCCTGCCTGTCACTTCCGTTATTTTTTTTTTTACCTTGGTTACTGATTTGATTAGTCATTCCATTCAGCTGTTTCCTGATTAGTTCGCTTCGTTTGTTCCATGTATTTACGTCCTTGTGGTTCATTTGAGTGTTGTCCGGTCTCATTAATGCTACCCTGTGTTTGTATTACCCATGTATTGGATTAAAGACTTTTTGGAGCCTTTCTCTTCTTCTTTGTGTGTTTGTACACAGCGTGACAGTATACAAGATGGTAAGATATTTACCACAATTAAACTTAATAATAATTTTAAGCATAAAAATATTAAATAACGAGTGATTTTTCGTCGAAATCACCTGGGTGTGCTGAATATTTTAACTAATTTATACTTCTAATTCCTATAAATACAGGAAATAGCATGAAATAATCAGTTGTTAAATCTAAGCATATTCTTTTAAAAAAAGAAAACCATTTTTATAAAAAGGGATTGCCTCATTACTTGTAAAAAAAAAAGTTTAACAAAGAGATGGGGACGTTCAAGGCCAGCTTTAAAAAAGATCAGCTCAATCTGTCCCCAACATGCAGGTAACCAAGAACATGTTAAGCTGTTACACAGCACAGCTCAGGCCTACAGTAGTTCTGGTCTGCTGCTTCTACATGGCCCTAAATAGCACTTCTTAAGTACTGTATAGAAAAGCCAATCATAGAATTTTGACCCACCTTCCAAATAACATCAATAACAGTTTCTAAGAAACCACTGAAAGTAAAAGATGAAAATCACTCCTTACAAAATCTGCCCTTAAAATCTCATTCAAATATGGCTTCAAGCATTGCATAATATCTTGCATCTTGCTGTATGCAAGATCTTAAACAAAACGCTACTGTATTGCATTTACTGTATTCCATATTCAATAAATAACCGGTAAATTAACCATATAATTCTAAACTAAAACTTATGAGGAAAGGTGAAACTGTTATGCTTTGAATCCATCATTAATTTTTACAATTAATATACATTTTTAGAGCAAAACAAAATTACTTCATAGTCCTGAGAGAATGTAATAATGTTAAATATATTTTAAATATTTATACTTAATATACACTTTAAAAAAAAAAAGAAAATAATTAATTTATTTTGTGGAACATAGTCCTCAGGTACATAGGAGAGGGTAAAATATTGTTAAATACATTTTAAATAAATTTAAATTGTTTGTAGATCTGCTCCAAATGGTTCAAATAAGCGCTTTCTCAATAAGCGCTTGCCCAGTGAGATGACAGCACCAGCAGTGTCCTCATGAGAAAACTCGTGCCATTTGCTCCCCGTTCATGTCCCTTCCCAGCTTTGGTTTTTCTGCAGGTGAAAGATAAGCTCTGGCCTATGGCCACCGATGCCTGTGAAAATAGCCTACGAATTAATCACCTGAGCCACAAATCAATCTGGAGTTGCAGGAAAATTACAATACTGATGGGCTTATGGCACCACACCACTTGGCTAGCAACTAGCTGAGATGCAAAATGTAGTAGACATATAAGTCCATTTTATGCTTTTAAGAGCCCTCCAGAAAAGATTTGGTAACTAGTAAAACATCTACCATAATATAATGAAATGTTAGCTGTATACAGTATATGTAACATACAGAATAGCATCCTCAAGAGCACACTGTTGATTTGAACTGGGAATTGATCATTTGAGTTATCAGAAGAGATCTTATAGCACTAACCAAGACCGTAAACTCAAGCCAAAAGACCCAGAAAAAGATTGGGTGCGGGATTAGGACCGACCTTGTTTTGGTCTTTAATTGTACTCTGGAGAGCTACCATATGTGTTGCATAAAATAAAAAAATAAAAAATTCTTACAGATGTTTCACCAGGCATGCACACACTACTCAGTAGCTTAAAATCTAACCTATCAACGTCATGTGAAAATGTTAGAAAATAAACAACTGACCTTGTGAAACCTTAAATTCAAAACTTTATGCATGACTAAAAATTGATTGTGGGGGGAGGATGGAAACTACAGAAACGTTTCCAGCAGTGCAAAGCCAGAGCATATTTAACAAATCTTATATAACTTTGTCATCTCATTTGATCTGTACCCTTAAACAAGAGAGAGAGATGTTGAAAAGTAAGTCACGGGGATCAAGGCCAGTCTTACTAGAGAGCAGCTAATGAACTTTGCAGAGTAATAGTTTAGCAATTAGTTGGACCAATTAGCATGCTGGATCCACACAATGACACCATTACAGTGCTATCTATCTATAGAATGTAAAGAAAATGGATATACAGGAACTTACACACTGTGAAACTACTAATTAATTTTTAAGCAATGATGCAAAAGTTTGCATCATTGCTTAAAAATAGCAAATTAATTCATATACAAAACATACTAAACTTTTCCAGCAGCAAACTCAATTAGTCTATGTATATCAATCAGTATAACATTAGATAAATAGAGTGCGTGTACATCACAAAAGCATCAGAGCATCTAAGATGGAACAATGTTCCTGTTAGTCTCCTGGCTCGATGCCTTAACTAATGAAGATAATTCAGCATGATGCAACAGAGAGACTGATAATGCTGAATCATCTTTCTTTTAAATGAATCCAGCAAAATATCCAATTGAACATCAAGCTCAATTCTGCACCAAATGTATTTGAACACCATCTGTGCAAAACACAGACAGACAGAGTTTAAAATAAAAGTCATAAATCCTGTGTACTTCATTCCAGGGTTAATCATATGGGTCATCTGAGAACTTGAATTGCCTCTACAGTGTCTCTTAGCAAGGGTTCTGTAGTTAACCAGAGAACGCAGGGAAGTATACTAAAGAGGCTTAAGGTGACAGGTAACCAATTTTAGAGACAGAGGCATTTAAGGATTCACAAATTAACTCATTAACACATGACACCAGGTTCTCACACTCTCCCCTCTTTACGTTTCATAATTCAAAGGAATTATGCCAGCAAAGATTTACATATTACTAACTAGAAAGTCTACTAAGTTTCTTAATTCAATTACTTTTAATAGGTGGGATTTTTTTTCTTTTTTGATAATCCATTTTACTTGGATATGCATCACAATACAGAAGAAAAGATCTTTAAGTAAACTTTAGAATGTAACTCATCTTCCAAGTACTTCTTAATGCAATTTCTTCAGAAAATGTAAAAACCTAGTTTATAATATTAAAAGCATAAAATTCATATTTATTATTTACTTTTAATTATTTAATTCAACACCAAAAGAAGTAAATATGACATTTTTTAAATTATGTACACTAGTATGAGATAAAGACCACCATAGAAAAGCTGTTTTGTTCAACAAAAGGAATTATGTACTATATAAAGTTAAGTATTAACTTCAGTGTTTGTTTCATTATATTACAGATGAACAGCTGCTTTATCACTTAAAAGTCATATCCAAATTTGCTGTAAATTTTCTATGAATTTTCTATTTCACTGAGTAATTTATAATTAAAAAAAGTGTCTATTGCTGGACCGATGTAAAATGAAAATTGTCGTTGTAATGTTCAATATTCCCTCAAAAGTCTTCTTCACAAGGCAGGTCACTTCCCTAAGCACTAAGAGTCTTTTTACTTTGGTTGGCGTCACCCCTTCTAAGCAGTTGATTTGGGATTACAAAGGATATCAGGTTCGGTGTCATAAACCGTAAGCAGAAATAAAGATATCCACCATGTTTCTGAACTCTACATTAAACACTAAATGACACAAAGTTCTTACTGCGAAAATGAATCTGACAATGTGATTCAAAAACCTTAAGAATTTCCCACAATACTCTATATTTGAGTACAGTTTTAAAAAGAACAGGACACCTGTCTATACTTAGCAGTACTAAAAGGATCACATCTTATTGGATTAGCCCGAGCTTCGGCTAAAGGAGCAAAGAGCACACGTACCAACCGCCCAACACCAACCCCTGTCTCTACTACTATTAATTTTAATTTTAGAAGTCTCTCTATTACAATAATTTTTCATTCCAATCTAGAAGGGTGAAAATCCAATGTAACGTGCTCTATATAGTTGTGTTAAATCAATTCTGAATGAAACGTGGGACATTTATTAAATATTTTAAATTTTATACAAGCTTTCTGGAATCATATTTCCGATGTACTGGTGACAACCCAAAAAAGCAGTCTACCAGCAAAGAGCAATCTAAGACTAATGAATGTGGGTTTATATAGATAACATGCTACTAATGGATCTCAAAAGTAATGTACATGCCCCTGGTGCATCACTAAGAAGCCTAACAAAACAGCATGCTCAGCTGATTCACCTGTGTTCCATATGTGGGACAAACTGCATCTGCAAAAAACAAATCCGACTCCAGCTGTTTGAATGAAACACAGCAGGTTGAACAGGTTTAACTGGCTTCATATGGGTCTCTTAAACTATCAACAATACATAAAACCACTAAACTGATATCCAGATTCATGTTAATTCAACAGTGCATGGCTACAGTCATACATTATGCATATCACCTCCAGCAATGGGTCCAAGAACAATTGAGACACATTTGGGCAGTGATGTCATGCTTTAAAATGTCTGAATTTCACTGCATTAGTTGCTTCTGCAAATAAATTATGCAAATAATTTCTTTTTCTTTTTTTTTCTTTTTTTTTTGGCTTGTAACCAACTGGAGCCAAGGTAATTCTATTAATGTCTGACAACCAGAAAGTGTCTTTATTATTATTATTTTTTTCCCAGTAAAAATACCTAAACGTCTCTACAACAAGACCGCAAAACTGCAATTAATATATCTTGAATCTTAGTTTACTGTTCTTACAAAACAAATTTGTGAAACCATAAAACCAGTCTTAAGTATACATTTTTCGAAATACATCATCTGAAAGCTGAATAAATAAGCTTTCCATATCCAAATAAAGTCCTTAGTAATTCATATTACTAATCAAAAATGAAGTTATGATATATTTACGGTAGGAAATGTACAAAATATCTCCATGGAACATGAACGTTACTTAATATCCCAATGAGTTTTGGCATAAAATAAAAATCGATAATTTTGACCCATACAATGTATTGTTGGCTATTGCTACAAATATACCCCAAAGTCCTTAGTAATTCATATTACTAATCAAAAATGAAGTTATGATATATTTACGGTAGGAAATGTACAAAATATCTCCATGGAACATGAACGTTACTTAATATCCCAATGATTTTTGGCATAAAATAAAAATCGATAATTTTGACCCATACAATGTACTTTTGGCTATTGCTACAAATATATCCCAGCGACTTAAGACTTAAGACAGTTTTGTGGTCCAGGGTCACATTTATTTTTTTTAAATGTAAATGTAACAAAATTTAGTAAAGTTTATGCTTAAAACCTCAAATTCTCATTTAAAAGATATATTTATGCGATTTTGCTTCTAAACAAAATTTATTTGGTTCGAAAGATGTTTAAATGTTTTAACTGGGCAACAAGACAAAATACTGGTTAAGATTCAAAAATGGACATTTTAAAATGAGACTTGTATGGCTTAATATAACGTAAATGATGTCTCTTACTGAAGTATGTAGTAGAAAACCCATGAAACATTTATGCTATTTAAAAAATACACATCGTTTTATACATATTTTGGACTATAATAGACTTCAAAGGTGGCCAATGGGCTGAAGGTCCAAAAAATGTATATACTTTTTAACCACAAATACTCATCTTGCACTAGCTGGACTTCACGCATTACGTAGTCACATTGGAAAGGTCACGCGTGACATAGGTGAAAGTACCGACCCAGTGTTTACAAAGTGAACGTGCAAAGGAAGCCCTTTAAAAAAAAGGTAAAACAACTATGTCGGACGATTTGGAAGTTGGAGGAGAAAATGAGATGGAGTTTTTCACCCTACCCTAGCTTTTTGAACTGGAATACACAAACGAAGAGCTAACCGTGCGTTACCTTTCCAACGTGATTACGTCATGCATGACACACATCACGGAGCTAGTGTAAAATGAGCATTTGTTTAACTAGATAAGACCCTTATTCCTTGGCTGGGATCGTGTAGAGCCCTTTGAAGCTACATTAAAACTGCAATTTGAACCTTCAACCTGTTGGCCACCATTTAAGTCCATTATATGGAGTAAAATCCTGGAATGTTTTCCTCAAAAACCTTAAGTTCTTTGCGACTGAAGACATGAGCATCTTGGATGACATGGGTGTGAGTAAATTATCAGGAAATTTTTATTCTGGAATTGAACTAATCCTTTAAGCCATACAAGTCTTAATACCCAGAGTTCCCTTTAAAAACAAAAAGCTAACTGTGCCAGGAAAAGACAAAAACAGATATTTATCCCTCTTGAGATGTCTGGTTGCTATAAGACAGATTTTAGCAAAATGGTAAGTAAAAGATTTTAACAACTTTCTTCCTTTATAACTCCATCTTGCCTCATTTTTACTACTTTTGTTGTCTCCTTCTACTGTCCATCTTTGTCTGTACCGCAGGAGTTCTAGTCTTACTCAGCTGATTGTGTACTCAGAGCAGTGTTGTCTGCTCTGTCCAGGTGACACCTGATATAATGTCTAATCCAGCTCAGAGAGGTGATAAAATTGTCTGTGTTCTGTTCATTGGGAACGCTGATTCTCAGCCAACATTCGGGTTCCGCTCCCACTGCTGTTGCAATCAGCTCCCTTATTCGGTTATAAGTGCTCAAGATCCCTAAAAATTCCCAAAATGCACAATAAAAACCAGTGGGCACTATGTTCACATACCAGAAATGTCGTCATGTCTTTTTAAGTCATCAGAGGATGAGTGCAAATGTAAATTCACCTAATTTTCACTCTTTTCAGTGTATTTACTTAATGTGAATGAAAAAATGCAATCCTGCATACATTTCTGAATTACAGTTGTTAGAAGATTTTTTTAAGTGTCTGAATGTCATTATGCACGTACAATGTTTTTCAGAGCATTCTCTCAGGAAAGTATAGCGTTCCCACGTGAAACTTTGCATTGTCTCAAAAAGCACTGAAATTTGGTTTCTCATATTATTTTTATTTACTTTGGTGAGGGAATGCAGAAATTTTTTTTTTTTGATGAACGCAAAAGTTTTGTGGGAGACTGCCAAAGAACTGAAATATAATTTTTCCTCCAATCTCCTATTTTTTACCATCACCATGACCCTTTAGGGTCTCTGTACAAGTGCATATTTAACAGTGGTGCTATACTTTTTGCCCAATGGAATATTTTAGAGCTAAGTTGTTGTTAAATACTAGTAAATACTACTAAAATCTATCTATCTATCTATCTATATTATAAAATATTAACATAAACGGAGTGTCGTGTTGATTTCACTCTACATATTAATTGTTTGTGTCTTTAGCATTTGAAATTAAGCTAGATAGATCAAAATATATATTAATATTAAATATTATTTAATAGTAAAATGACTACTACTTCTATTATTAATAATAAATCTATTATATTAATGTATGTATTATATTAATTCTTTTATAAAAGTCATCCTGCCTGCAGCACTCTTGGAAATATGCGGAGGGCCTCCTGGTTGAAACCACTGTGATATACTGAGTCCTAACAGGAATGGTAGAAGGCGTGAAGGAGAATGCCACCTTTGACATGGGAAGTAGATAGTTCACCTGGAATAATGTGACTCACCTTAGGAGGAGCTTCAATGTCATCCACTTGATTCCTGAGTAATTTAGTCTTGATTAAAGTCTCTACAGTCACATTGTACTTCATAAAAGTGACATAGCTAGCGTAACAGAGTAACAGTCCAATGCTCTCAACATAAGTAATGTAGTTATCCAGGAAGAAAACGATAAGCATAATTAGTCCAATGATATAAAAGGTGACATCTCTAAACAGAGGCCACCAGGTGAGGTTGAGAATCTCACGTGAAAAGACAGCACACATCCCGATCACGAACAAGATGTTGAAGACAGCAGAACCCACGATGGTCCCGATGCCCACATTGCTGTGTGAGATGAACACACCGATCACAGAGGTGAAGAGCTCAGGAGCAGAGCCTCCAGCGGCCATGAAGGTGGCGCCCGCTACGTCATCCGAGATCTCCAGTTTTTCTGTGATCACAGTGAGGGCGGGGACGAAAAACTCGTCGCAGACGATAGCGAGGGCAATGAACATGTACATCATGCCGAACATATGCAGCACAACTGCACCTTGCCTCCTCTCCTCCAGTGTGAACAGATCCTCGGGATAATCTCCCTTGCTGTGCTCACCGGACGAGGCCATAGCGATGGGCATATCTGCCGAAACATTGCGCTCTTCATGAGAAGATAGGACAGTTCTGTGTGGCACTGGTTCTGCAAGTCCCTCATGGTTGGTGAGAGAAGTGAGTGGAGTCCATCTTGGGAATGGGCCCAAAGTGAAGGTAAAGGCACTCCAAGACAGGAACAATGTGAGGGCAGAGATGCTCAGGATAAAACCAAAAATCCGCGAAGGACGTAGTTTCCTCCTGACATGCTGCAATCGGTGACGCTTGCTCTTCCGCTCCAGAGGGGTGCAATCTGACCCCAATTTGATGCTGGAGAATGTGGGATCCATGTTTGATGGGCAGCTCGGGGGTCTGGTGGTCTGAAATCTATGGAGCGCCGGGCATGGTTACAGGCCAACTCTACTTAAACCTGACAGGAATAATGTACTCCCCGATTCCTCGCAGGGTCCAGAGTCTCTAATGGCTTCCTCATAATAATCACTGAAACACAACATATCACAAGAGCGAGAAATTGTTTTTTATATATTTGCCTTTTAAAATTCTGATGTGCCTTACAATTTTGGATCAAAACAAACATAACATTGAGAAAAAGAACAAAATATCACATTTTAGTATGACTAAATGGCATGAATATTCATTTTATTTATTCATCCTACTTCATTTAAGTAGGATTAACATAACAGATGCTAAACTCAGCCAATCCAGTAGCTGGCTGTCAGTCACCTTGCTGCAACCTGATCACACACCTGGGGGGCATTCCAAAAAGCAGGTTATGTGACATACCCGGGTATGTTTGAGGATAAGCGAGCGGATAACCTCAGCTTTCGGTTCCAAAATCGGAGGTTACTTTCAGGGTATGTAAGTAACCATAGTAACTTGCTCTCTGAAGATAACCTGCTCCGGAGCAGGTTATGTTCCAGGGTTAGTTCACTTCAGCGCACGTGTGATCTACTGACGAGCCTTCAGTGGGCATGACAGATAGCGCACAGCCGCACAACATTATATAATATTACAATATGTAATATAGCCTATTATATATATTTTTATTTATATATTTGTATGTTACTGTTGAAGTGCTAATATAAGTAGGCTAATAAATAAGGTAATATATTATTCTAATATGGTTATTATATTTATTTTATTGGCATATATAACAGTTATCTGTATAAATTATAAAACACTATGACAAGGTAATGTTTAATTTATTATATTATATATATTTATTTATTACATTTTATATTATCATCTCACACATGGATCGACATTTTCTATAATGTCTAAATTCTAAATCAAAATGCATATCTGCTATGACTTAATGTATAATTAGCATCAAACAAACAATGTAATTCATATTCTCAAGGATTAAAGATTAAACGGGAAAAAAATTTAAATGATTGCACAACCATCAATTAGGTGGCGATATGCACTAAGCATGTAAACGACCATTGAACAAAAGAAGAAAGAAAGAAACAGCATGGCACGCTTTTTCTTAGCATCTGTTTCCATAGTGACTCATCGATTCATCGCTCTGTTGAGAATGTCTTTGTTATATTCTTGTGTCCTTTATATTGTTATATTCTTGTGTCCTTTATATGTTTGTCCAAATGGTGTGTCTTATTTTTAGGTCTAATAAAGACACCATTTGGACAAACATATGAAGGACACAAGAATATAACAGTCTTGAGTCTTAACCAGTAATATACTCTTGAATGAACTTACTCCCGGACGCGTTTTTGGAACCACATACCTCGAGTAAGCAAGGTTTGGGGTTAATCAACCGAAAGTTCGTTCTATATGGCTGTTGATTTAAAGCAGCACTGCTGACTTCTGCTTAATGTTATCATTAAAGGGGTCATATGATGCTGCTAAAAAGAACATTATTTTGTGTATTTGGTGTAATGAAATGTGTTTATGCAGTTTAAAGTAAAAAAAACACATTATTTTCCACATACTGTACATTATTGTTTCTCCTCTATGCCCTGCCTTTTTGAAACGCGTCGATTTTTACAAAGCTCATTGGTCTGAAAAAGCGAGGTGTGCTGTGATTGGCCAGCTATC